TAGAAATAGCTATTCATCTCCCTTGATTCTAACTTTAATTCTTAGCTGAATCTACAAGGTGTTAGGAAGAAAGCAATCTGACAAACCAATTCATACTCATGTGTAAATGATTGTCCATTAATTTATAATATACACATACACAAACACATGCACAAACATAATTGCATTACTCATGTGTTAGCTAGGCATCATTCTGGGGGCCAGGGATATAACAGTGGAAAAGGGCAAGGTTTCTGCTCCCATGAAGCTTACATTTCAGTGAGGAGGGCTGGCCAATAATAACGCTCCAAAAGAAATAAACCAACAAATCCACAAAGTTATAAATAGGGTGATATAATACAGGAAAACTGGGTGACCGCTTTGCATTGTGTGGTTAGGGAAGGTCTCTTTGAATAGGTGACATTTAAGATGAGATATAATTGAAGACAAAGAGCCAGTCTTGTGCACATGAAGGGGAAGAGCACTTTGGACAGCTAGCACAACCCTGAGGAAGGAATGGACTTGGTGCATGAAGGACGAGAAAAAGGCCAGTGGGGCTGAAGAGCAGTGGGCAAGGAGGTAAACAGAACAGAAACACAGAAAGGGGCCAAATCAGTCGGTCTTTGTAAGCCAGATTTATGCTTTCGAAGTTTATCCTAAGTGAAAGAGGAAGCCTTGGAAAACTGTAAGGAGAAATGTGGTCTGAGTTACATCTTAAAACAATCTCTAGCAGAAGCATGGAGACAGATAGGGGGCTACTGCAGGGATCAGATGAGAGAGGACGGCTGCCTAGACTAGCATGGCTGTGGTAGAGACAGCTAAGTGGGTCTGATCAAGATATACTGTAGAGGAGAGATCTGCAGGAGTTATGAATGGATTCACTGGGGAGGAGGAAAAAGGAATCAGGAACACCTGGGTAGATAATACTGTTTTCCTGAGAAAGGTGAGATATGGGAAGAATAGGTTTGGTTGAAGGATAAGGCAGCTGGGCAGTAGAAGCCAACAGTTCTATTTGGATATGGTAATTCTGAGCTGTGAATGACACATCCAGCATTGATACAGGAAGGCGGTTGGTATATGAATCTAGAACGCAGGGAAAAGTTGAGGCTGGGGAGCTACATTGGGTACTCACTGGCATATCGATGGCGTTTAAGCCTTGGATACTGGGATGATGGCCCAGGGGGTGAGCATGGACCAAGAAGAGGCCTGGGGGGACCAGGCTCTGGCTCTCTCCAACATTGAGAGGTGGGAAGAGACTGTTCCTCTCTTCTCCAGACAGGCGGCTCTGTAGAAGGGCCATTCAGGCAAAGAGGCTGTTCCTCTATTAACAGTTGTGGGTCTTTAAGGTCTTATAGGCACACCTGAGGGTGGTCAGGAGTCCTTTTCTGCCAGTAGGTTATAATGAACATTTCACTACCAGTTGGTATGAAGAAGCTCTGTCTCACCTGCAAAGTCATAAGCTCTTTTTTCCAAGATTTTGAATATGGTAAAAAAAAAAAAAAATACTATTAATGACATACATAGATATTGAATCCTGCCCTGAGGCAGGAGGACTAATAGGGAAGGTTTTCAATGCCCATAAGGCCATCACAATCTAAGCATCTAAGTCTCACCTCCAGGAGGCAGCAGTTTACCAAACACTAGCCCGGAACCCTTCTGCCTTAGGAAAACTGTCAAGACTTCAGCCTAGACAAAGAGCTGGGCCCCAGGACCAATACAGATGAACGGTAGGGGTAAGTGAAGAGAAATAGTTGTCTTTTTTCTTCTGCCTATAGCAACTGGGCTTCGTCACTTGAGAATAGCATCTTTTTTTTTCCCCCGATAAGTCAGGAGATACAATAAAGCAATGCTCTTGTTTATGGTTTCCTTTGCTGTGCAAAAGCTTTCAAGTTTCATTAGGTCCCATTTGTTTATTTTTGTTTTTACTGCCATTTCTCTAGGAGGTGGGTCAAAAAGGATCTTGCTGTGATTTATGTCATAGAGTGTTCTGCCTATGTTTTCCTCTGAGAGTTTGATAGTTTCTGGCCTTACATTTAGGTCTTTAATCCACTCTGAGCTTACTTTTGTGTATGGTGTTAGGGAGTGTTCTAATCTCATACTTTTACATGTACCTGTCCAGTTTTCCCAGCACCACTTATTGAAGAGGCAAAGTGAGAGAGTGGCATGGACATATATACACTACCAAACGTAAAATAGATAGCTAGTGCGAAGCAGCCGCATAGCACAGGGAGAACTGCTCGGTGCTTTGTGACCACCTAGAGGGGTGGGATAGGGAGGGTGGGAGGGAGGGAGACGCAAGAGGGAAGAGATATGGGAACATATGTATATGTATAACTGATTCACTTTGTTATAGAGCAGAAACTAACACACCATTGTAAAGCAATTATACTCCAATAAAGATGTAAAAAAATAAAGCAATGCTCTGAAGCATCAGGGTTGAAGAATAAAGTCAGAAATATTGAACAAGATGCTGAATGAACAACTGGCCGTTTTTGGCGGGGGGAGGTTTATATAGATATGATCATCTGAGATTATCTGTGAATATATTGTTTGGGGAGTATGCTACACAGTTAATACTGCAGCAAATTATAGGAATTCTCCCACTAACAGAGCAAGGAAATCTGTTTCCCAATGGGAAGAATTTACGGCAGTGTAGGGAAACCATTTTGACAACTAATGACTCGCTGTATTATCCCACAGGCTTTCTTACCTCTCGATACCCCTACCTGGGTTCTGAGCTGTTTTTAAATGGCAGAACAAATGACTCCGAGCACTAGGTTCACTGTAATCCACATTTCATGTTACAGAAAAGAATTTAATCATACGGCTTCCACACTGTTCAAAAGAGTTCATTAATACAAGAGATACAGAGCCATTTTGGCAGACTGGTATATAGAAAAAGGAACCCGCTTTGAGATACTGGTATGACGAGTTGAGAAAAAGAGAAAAACACCCCAAGACATTTTCAGGCCCAAGGATTTCATGTAGGGAAAACATTTTTAAAATCCCTTTTAAAGCAAGAGATGCATTCGGTAGGATGAACTGCTGACTTTTCAGAAAGGCAGGCTAATTTTGGATAAGTGTCGTGAGACCTAAGTTTGCCTTCATTACCATAATTTGCACACATTCTCCTCAAGCGTTAAACCCATGGTCGAGAGTGTGTACTAACTTGGGCACCGCTTGATCGTGATTTAAGCCTTAAGGCAAGAAGGCTCCCCCAGACATTTTCCTATAGTAACCTCCGATAGAGCCATGGCTAACGATGATGCTTAGTTCCTGTGGTTGTATACTTGTTCTCTAAACAAAGCAACTTAATATGAATACTTTAAGTTTTTCCTCTTGCTTGCTACATTTCTGGTCATTTTTGGAAAAAGTTAAAAATAAAGACCAAATATAGACCTGTTGGAACACCGCTGGGGTTGAGGGGGGATCAGTCAACCCCAGTTGATCAGCAGTCAACCGGAAGACTCTGCACAGCTCTGCTCACTAAGGCGGGGAGGGAGAACACTCTCGAAATCCCTCAGCTCCTCCATTAACTCAGCTGGACCCCCAACACCGTGCTGGGCCCAGCATGATCAGGACTCCTAAACAGTCGATCAGTTGTAATACACCATGTGCCACGGCTCACCAGGATGTATCTGGACCTTTCATCCATCCTTCGTTTCTCAAGGGGTGAGGCGTCCAAATTCATACTCGTCAGATCCTCCTTAGCCATTCAACACCATAATCACAAGCGCTGCTCTTTTATTGAATCCCATGTCCCAGATGCTTTCCTAGCTATATAATTTTATAGGCGTTTTCTCCAATCCTTACCCTGATCCTGCAAGTTAATATGGTTGTCCCTATTTCATAAATGAAGAAACCGAGGCTCAGAGAAGTAATCTATCCATAGTCACTGAGATAATGAATATCTGAGAAGAACAGCCAGTGATTTCAGTCAAGAGACACATGGTTTAAACTGTGCTTGCTTTCAGACTCAAAAGCCAGGTCGCCAACTATGGCAAGTGTTAGTAGAAGTCACAGCATTTTCATTAAGGCTGTGGCAAAGTGGGAAAGTGGGAGAGGAACGGCACCATCCGCAGGGCTGTATTTCCCCTCAATTCCTGCCTTTTCCCAAGCCCACTGCAACCCTTGTCATTGACCTTCTGTTGGTAGAGATGCAAGTCTTGTTGCTCTAAGTTGAGACTACACATCTGTCAAGATGTCAGCTAGTGACAGGAAGTAGGTCCAGAACTTCAGTTACAATAAGCTCTGATGTGTATCAGAGTCACCTGTGAGCTGAACACACATTTCTGGGCCCTTCCATAGGTTGGCTGTGGGTCTCAGGCATTTGCATTTTTAAAAACAAACTCCCAGGTAATTCTGATGCCCATCAAAGTTTGAAAATTACTGCTCTCAATGTTATGTTCAGGAGGACGAGATCTTACTCAGAAGAGGGAGTACACATAACGAGCTACAGCTGCAGGCTGGAAGAAAAATTCAGCTTAGCGGGAATGCATGAAGGGATGTCCACCTGGCCTGCTTATTTTGCTCAGGATAACTTTTTCCTGTTCTGATCCATGTCTGTTTTCTATTTACTCCCATTAATGTTTGGGTCAAGAGAATCATCAGGTCTTAAATATTTATCTTAGTTACCCAACAAATACCGCGCTTCATCCAAACTTGACTAAATACATAGAAGACAGAAATTTTGTTCTTGAAGATAATTCTGTAGTTGTGTTTTTGAAAGTTCTAATTGTAATGGGAAGCTGACCTATCAATCTAATCACCAAATCAATCTGCTCTCTCCGTGCAGGCAGGCCCTCTGGGAATGCTATCCTGTCATGATGATACTGACCAGCTTTCTAACCTTGAGAAATGCCATGACGATGTTCTGGCGGTGACCTTATGCACAGCTCTGGGCTTTTGTCTTTCATAGGCCTGGTTTGTTAGCACGGCACTTGAAATTGTAGGAACAAAAGGGTCAAGAAAGCAAATGGGCTTCCGCTCCTGGGGGAATCACACAGGGATGTATTCATTACCTGGCACTGACGTTCCAAGTGCGACGAACACTACCGCGGTCACCGAATCCTTCAGGCCGATGGTGCAGCCGAAGTGGGAAGCCAGGTCTCCGATGAAAGCCGTCAGTATGCCAATCATGAGGATGGAGACGATGAAACACGCCCAGCCATTCCAGTATTCTGTAGGGGGGACGAAGGCGAAGAGAACCTTCCAGAACACAGTCAGAAAGTGCATCACGTAATCGAAGCAGGAGGGCAGCTTCTCCTCCCCACATTCATCGTCGTCATCATCTTCCCCTAGAGAGAAAGGAATGAGGAATATTTCATCAAAATCTGTGCTATCAGGGTTTTCCTCTCTCCCACTTTCTCCTTCCTAGGCCTGTTGGCCCTCCCTTGAGAGGTGGGTGAAGCTTTGGGTTTTCCAAGAGTCAATCATAATCAACCAAATCATTATTAAGGTACTGACATGCCCCCTCGCTGTGGTTCACGGATCAACAGCAAAACCTTAAGCCCCAACCAGTTCTGGTTATATGCAATCAACACATACTTTCTACTCCCACGTCACCTCCCGTGAGTATTGTCATTTCATGGAAGTGATAAGGATTTCTCCCCAAAGGCAGGAAAGTCGTGTGCCATGCTTGGAAAAAAGCCTCCTTTAATGAAAGAGGACTGACAGTTCTTCTACCAGGATTCTTTCCTTCCAGCTCGGAGTCTAGCTCTGGGGATTCATGGCCATATGATCCTGTATCGGACCATGTTCTAACAGGGCCCTCCAGCTTCATCTCCTACAACTACTTCAAACTCAAACTTCATCCCAGCCAAATGGAATTATTTGCAATTTCTAAAAAACTGTATGTAATGTACTTTCTCCTACTTTTGTCCTTTAGAACTAAACGTGCTTGGCATATCCTAATCCCTCCCTCCTTATCCTTTAAAAAAAAAAAAATCACTGCCCTTGTGAAACTTCCCCTGACCACCACCCTCCCGCCCCTTGCCCTCCAGCCTTCTGGGAACTTCTTGGGGCTTCCATAGCCCCCCCCCCCAACACTGCTAACACTGGATCACTGTGGTCCCTGAACAGCAGCAGGAGCACAAGGGAATTTTTTAGAAATGCAAATTTCTGGCCCCGCTGCATCAGAAACTAGGGGAGTGGGGGTAAGGTGGGAGGTGTTTGAACAAGCCTTCCAGGTGATTCTCATGCATGCTCAATTTGAGACCAGTCTCTAGATTGTGCCTGTTCACTTTTCTTCTCCATTTGACTATGAGCCTGTCAAGGGCAGGAGTTTGTTCATTTTTGTGTCCTTAGTGTTTGGTCTAATCTCCAGCACGTGCATGCATGTATGAATTTCCACTGACTTTATGTAACTACTTAATTACATAATACACATAGGTAACTACTTAATTACATAACACACACACATGTAACAATGTTGCCAAGTAAATTCACAAAGCTTACTACTTAAAGGAGCCAGGAAATTAATAGTATTCTAAAATAGAAACTTCATTTACAATGTGATACAATCCCCATTCACATATTTTAAAATTGAGCTACTGAACGTCACCTCTTCTTGAAGTGGTGGCTAGTACATATTTACGTCTTTTGTAGCCATTTTGGAAAGAACTTCTCCTTGAGACTTTGTTTCACCACTACCACCTCCCCGAACCTTGTCACCAGGGATCCACTTCCTCCAACCAATGCAGCTGGCAGCTGGTGAGGCTGTCACACTTCCCAGCTGTCTGCCCAATCTTAGATTGCCAGCATGGGGCAAACGTGCGTACTCTTCATGAGACACTCCTTGGTGAGGCCCTCTGGAGCAGCACATAACTGGGAAACCCTCTTAAATCCAAGGAGCTTTGAGGGAAAAGTGCCTCTCACAAAATACGAGGAGTGTCTGGATTTGTAACTTGTCATCTTACAGGACGAAAGAAGAGGCAATGGTTCGCTCTTCAGTGAGTGCGCAGTCAGAATTATTATGCACATAAACTTTGGGGATCTGCAGAGAAAGTAGCCTCATCTTTGAGGCTCTGGAAGGTCTCCAATAAGCTCTCGGGAAGAAGCCCTCAGCAGACGGATGGAATCACCTTTGGAAACGAACAAGGTAGAGGACTTGACTCAGGTCAGCTGATGGAAAAGTGAGTGACACACTAGAGTGAAAGAGCCTAGTTGCCCATGTTAAAGTAATTGACCAAGGAGGCCATTAGACGGGAGTGGCTCTAACGCCCTAGTAACGGAATGTGAGCAAGCCGAAACCTCAGCCAGAGTCAATTCCTACAAATACATTTGTATCTGAGAAAATGAAACTGAGGAACCAACATTCACAAACAGCCCACCTAGGCTCTCCTAAGTAAGGCAACTGCTTAAGCTAGAGCCACTCAGCTTCCTTGCTTCACTTCTGAGTCTGCTCTGTAAGAGGCTGTTCCCAGCTCCTAACGGCAGAGTGCCCCTAACCACTTCTGGTTTGATTCTGCCTGAGGTGAATCCACGTTTGCTCAAATAAACTCTTAAAAACTTTTAGTGTGCCTCAGTTTATAATCAACCATTTCCTACAGTGCTCACGCTGTATGGGTATTACATATTTCTAATATCATCCGTGCCTGAAAGTAGAAGATGCTTTTAAGGAAAAGCACATGTTGTGGACTGAATTGTATCTCCTCCAAATTCACATGTTGAAGCCTGACCCCCAGTCAAAAAGTGTGACTGTATTTGGAGATAGGGCCTTCAAAAAGATGCTTCAATGAAAACGGGGCTGTTAGGGTGGCCCTTTATCCAATCTGACTGGTGTCCTTATAAGGGGGAATTGGGACACAGAGAGATAGCAGGGACACATGCACATGGAGGAAAGACCACGCGAGGACACAGCAAGAAGGTGGCCCTTCCTTCCCCCAAGTCAAGGAAAGAGGCCTTGGGAGAAGCCGAACCTGCCAAAACCATGATCTTGGACTTTTATCCTCCAGAACTGAGAAAACGCATTTCTATTGTTTAAGCTCCCCAGTCTGGGGTATTTTGCTGGCAACCCTAGCAAATTAGTACAGCCCCTTTGGAAGCATCCTGTGGCATAGCACTGACATATAGGAACAGCCACTCAGTGTTTCTATTACTTACTCCTTTCTTGTTTCCTTCCATTTCTTCTTTTTTCCTTCTGTTACTGAACCAGGTTCGTTTTGCCCCAAGCACAGCAAGCCAAAACGCTGAGAGGGTTTTTCCCCAAGGCAGCCAAGTGAAGAGACGGGAGAACAAACCTCAAAGCTCCCTCTATGAAAGCAGAGGGTTCCGGGTATTTATGGGATGACCAATAAAGAAGCAGAGTGGTCTGGGGTGTGGGGAGCATGGGGAAAGGCGATTGGAAAAACGTGCAGTAACCTTGGTTCTGCTCAGGCGTACCTAAGCACGTTCAAAATATCACTGAGCTAGCATCCACGCATGCCCAGAGGAGGGTCAGTGGTCCCACCCAGTCTTAACCAGCTCAGTTCCAACTAAACACAGCTGACTCCAAGTCCCTAAAACAACTTGGGCCAACATCTTATTGTTTAAGCTACTTGGAGGACCTGCAAGTTTCAAAATGGCCTTGATTAGTGAGGGCAGGTGAAATGGATTTGACTCTCAGTTTCACTTCTTTCACCTTTCTTCCCATTTCCCTTTTACCCTCCACTTGAGCTCCAGGTGGAACTCACTGTGAGAGCTGCAATTGTTAGTCCTTGTTTGAGGGGGGTAGGAAGAAGAGGACCATGCTAATGATTACTCTACCTCCTTTTCTCCCTGCTTCCCAATCCAAAGGGGGGACTGCATGTACCCCAGGAAAGCTCAGAAAAAGCACTAGACTTTCTAGTTATATTTATTTTGTATCTGATCCTTCAAAATATCTATATTTGTAAATATTTTATCATTTTATAGGGGGTTTGATTAGAACAGTTTGGAAAACACTAGATTTTAATCAATCATTCATAGAAACACAGATTATTCTGCCTCTAACTCTACAAAATTACTTAATTTGGGGTGTCTAAGTCTCATACTGTGGAGACAAACAAGAAAACAAATAATGAAGCTTCTGAGAAGAAATGACACTTATAAATTGAGAGTAGATGTTGTATTTGTCTTCAAGATGGAAATAATAACCCCTTTCCCATGAGGAATGTGCAAGGGAATAATTAGATCATTTCTGCAAAGTGTTTGAGGATATTTCAAGGTAATGATTATCATGGTAGTTATCATTATTTTCCTCCACTTAGGATTGTTACTGTGTTTCCCCATCATTATTTAATTACTTGGTCAAGATGCTGGGTCCTAAGGTGACATTCTCGGTTTTTAAAAACAAAATCTAATATTGCCCTCTGGAATTAACTTTATGACTTGTACGTGTACAATGCAAAATGTGTGTGTGTGTATGCATGCGAGAGAGAGAGAGAGAGGGAGAATTTCCTTCTGTAGGCTTCCAACATTATAAGGAATATTAAACATCTTAATGCTTAAGTCTGGACTGGGAGGCCCATCTGTTTTATTGCATTTGAAAGTAGAAGTGGCTTCCCATCTTTTTCCTGGAATCTCACTGCTCTTTATAAATTTTAATCTCCCACTCAGATGTTATTTAAATATTAAAAATGACCCCTGACTGCCATGTATGAGACACAATTACCTTGTCTTGGAGAAGGACAAAGAAATACTATATTCATTCATCACCACCTGGACTATACTTAAAAGTGTGCTCCTTGCAAAGAGCAGTGGAGCATTAAACACACACACACACACACACACACACACACACACACACACACACACACCTGGAGCATCTTTTATGTGATGGTAGAGATGACAGTAATTTGCTGGTATGTTTGCCAGCTCAGGGTTACTGGATGCTGTGTAATTCCTTCGAGTCTCTCTTCTGTATTAGCAAAGAAACAGGCAGGTTGGTGGGTTTCCTTTTATAGGATCCCAAACAAAGGATCCTCTTATCCCAGAATCCTTCATTTCAGCTTTATGGATTTCAGTAATGGGAAGATAACAAACAAGCTGTATTTGATTAATCCCTCTCATGGCTTTTTAAATGGTTTCCTTGATTCATACCGGACTTCCTAAATATAACTACAAAAGTAGTCTAATCATTAACATCACAGAGAGTGGACAGAGCATCCCTTCAACTACTGATATAATGGTACTTGCCCGGGCCCTGCTCTGGAGCATGAGAACAAGGGTACTGTCAGCACAATTAATTGATCAAGAAAGGCAATCCCTGGGCTTGGCACCTGCAGAGTACACAGCAGCTAAAGTAAACCAGGTGTTAATTTGTAGAGATGCTCAGGGT